TCAGAGCTCCATGTGCAGGGTTTACATCCCGGGCGGGTAGAAGGGTTTGAAACCTATTGCCAAAAGATTGAAACCATGGTGAACCTGGCAACATGATAAAGATGTTTTGGCTGTTACACGAGTAAGCTTACAAGTTTATAGTAGCAACCCTATAGTAGCAATCTCATGGTGGTAACCCAGCAGCAGTAGGTAACTTAGCAGTGTTTCACCGGCTTTCATGGTTTGTTCAAGAGCGAAGGGCGTATAATAGAATCTTTGTGCAGCCCCATGTCACCCCGATGGGTAAACCTTTGACAACCCGTTTCAAACCTAAACCGGAAGCCCTGCAGTAAGCCTAAACCCGCAAACTCCAAAACCCTCGACCCTAAATCCTAAACCCTAAACCCTAAACCCCTAAACCCCTCAACCCTAAATCCTAAACCCCCAAAACCCTTAACCCACACTGTCGGTTACCCTGTGGCTGATGACTGAAAGGCACGTTGTCAAGCAGCCGAAGCGAAGGCCCAACCGTGGGGAGCGTTTTCTTAGGGGTACTGAGAAATATATTTTATTTTTGGTTATTATAATCCTGAAGAAACAGCTAAAATCATAATTTTTGCTAGGGTTCTAAGTTCAGTATAGTTTTAAGGTCTGGGGTTTAAGGTTTAGGCATTTAGAGTTGAGGGTTGTGCGGTGTACCTGACCCCCCAGAAAACTTACTTGCTTCAGGAGGGAATCAGTATAAGGTATAAGGGAGTTTCAGAAAATAGGGGACCCTAACATGGTACCCTAAATAGTAGGATCCTTATTATAAGGACTGCAAAATATGGTACCCCTATTTTCGGAAACTCCCATAAGGACCCCAATACAGGCGGTTAAAGAGGGCTTGGGGTGCTCGAAAGGTTTCTCGCCGGGTTTGTATTGGCTTTTGTAGGCTTTCCGTAGGGTTTTGCGCTGTAACTAGCTGCTACTTTACGGTTCCCTTCAGGATTCCTGTGGTGGTCCGTCTGAGCGTTCACAATGTCAAGGTTCCATTTCGGCTTTAGGGCTTGTTTTAGGGTTGTTGTAAGAGCGCGGGAGAATTGATCGGCGGCTTAGGGTTTGGGGTTTTGGGGCTTAAGGGTTTAGGCTCAAGTGTTGAGGGTTCACGGCTTAAGGGTCGAGAACCTTCAAAATTGTTGTTCTCAGACTTTAGATGATATGTAGGCCTCGGTGAAAATTTCAAACGAAAGGATGCGCAGAAGGTTTTTTTTGGTCTAGGGTTTCGGATATGTGGTTTTCAGCACAGAAGCCACTGTTGCCGGAAAGTGGTTTTCACAATCGTACCATCACCAGCAACAAGGAAAACGACCGTCACAGCATCAACGGTCGGAGTAACCATCCTCATGGATGAAGTAGCATGCCTCGAGTGATAGTGGGGTCCGACGACAAGATATGAGTTTTTGTCCAGGAGTCGTTCTGGTTGATTTATCTTCATCCAGTCATCGTTCGACCGGGATTGTCATGGCAATCATCGTCGCGCCCTTTACCCTCATCTTCAAGATCCTGATCCATGGCCACCAGCCCTGAAAAAAAAAAACCCTGAAGCCTAAACCCTAAGCCCCGAACCCTGAAACCCTACACCCCAAACCTCAACCCTCAAACCCCAAACCTGATTCCCAGAGCACCTAAAACCCTTAAAGCATCCCCAAAGGCTTTAAGATCATCACTGAAAGCCAACAAAAAACATCCCCAAAGGCCTCTGAAACCATCCCTACAACCCCTAAAACATCCTTAAAAGCCTGCAAACATCACATAAAACCCTAAACCCTAAACCCTAAACCCACAGAAAAAAAAAAACAAAATTCCTATTCCCACGCCATTTCGTCAACCCTCGAACCCAGGTAAAAGCAGCCGGCTCGGCCTCGAAGTTCTTCGGCTTTAAAAAAAAAGGGGGAAACGGGGGGGGGGGGTGGGTTTAAGGTTTAGGGTTTTTGGGGGTTTGTGGGGTTTTGGGGGTTTAGTGGTTTAGGGTTTAGAGGTTTAGGTTTTAGGGGTTTTAGGGTGTTAGGGTTTAGGGTTTAGGGGTTTCGGGTGTTAGGGTTTAGGGTTTTAGGGTTTTAGGGTTTTAGGGTTTAGGGTTTAGGGGTTTATTGCGTTAGGGTGTAGGGTTTAGAGTTCAGGGTTTGAGGTTTAAGCTTTAGGGGTCAAGATCTAGGGTTTAAGGTTGGCTGGATGGGGGGTGGGGGGGGGGGGGGCCGGGGGTTAGGGTTTTAGGGGGTTTAGGGTTATGCCCTCAATTCATAAATCCCGCGCGGGAGTTGGGATTATCATCGGATCCGAATAGTAAGGCCTGTCGAGAAAAGGGGCCTAGTCATCAGGGCTTTGCACTACTCTACAATGTCATGTTTAGAAGGTGTACAGACTCCTTTCCTTGGAGTGAGTTATTTTGCGTGGATTCCTGGTGTTCTTGTCTGGGTTTCTGTGTTCGGGGTTGTGTTCATCAGATTCTGCGAGCTTCTGCCACTGTGTTTGGAGGATGCTTTCTGGTGGGCAGAAGGGTTTTGCAATGCTTTATCGGGTTCTATCAGGGTCTCGTTCAATTTTTTTTTGTTATTTCGCGGGTTTGTGGGGCTTTCCGAGTTTGAAATTGCGGGTTCTGGGAGCTTCGGGACTCTGGAGTTCGGGTCAGGTTTTGCGGCTGCAGGGCTGACGGCGCAAGGTAGTGGTCCCAACACGTCGCAATCGTGTCCCTTATGGTCCCCGGCTATCAAATCATATACTCCGCCGCTGTTCCATGTTGAAGGCCGTATACCAAAACCCTATGAAACTCCGTGAAGCATATGAGAACCTGTAAGCCTGTAAGCACTGCATGAAACTCCATAGGACCTTTTTCCCGCGAACCGAAACCTGACACTTCCCTGAAACCCCGAATGCGCATCCCAATAGACTGTATTAACACCCCTCAAGCCCTACAGTAACCTGTAGCAAACCTTCGTCCAAGTACACACCCTTACAAAATACCTGTCAAGCTATAAAGCCCTTCTAGAAGCCCAGCTATAGCCCAACACCCTAAATATAACCTGAAACAAAAATCTGTACCGGTCAACCTTGAGACGACAACCTCAAGCCCTAAACCCTAAAACCCCCTTAAGCCTTAACGCCTCACCCACCCCCAGCGCCATCAAATCCCCTCAAAAACCTCAACCCCCCTTGAAGCACCCATTAAACCCCATAGACTCTACACCCGTAACCTTCAACCCTTAGCCCCAAACTCTAAGCCCTAACCCCTAAAAACCCTAAACCCTAAACCCTAAAATCCGAAACCCTTAAACCCGAAACCCTAAGCCTTAAGCCCCAAACCCTCAAGCTCTCCTAAACCCTATAAACCCTAAACCTGAAACCCTAAAACCCTAAACCCTAAAACCCTAAAACCCTTAAGCCCTAAGCCTAAACCCTCAAGCCCTCCGTCTATAGTTGGCGAAGGCGCCAGGGCGACTTCCTTTGCAAGCTTCGGGATCAGCTGAGCGGTCTGAAGGTGCGCGGTTTGGGGCTCAGGGTTTAGGGTTTTAGGGCTTCTTAGGGGTTTAGGGTTTTAGGGTTTTAGGGTTTAGGGTTCCAGGGCTTTAGGGTTTAGGGTTTAGGATTTTAAAGTTTAAGGGTTTGGGGGTTTAGGGCTTAGGGTTTTAGGGTTTTAGGGCTTCTTAGGGTTTAGGGTTTCAGGGCTTTAGGGTTTCGGGTCGGAGAGTTCTGAACTTTGGGGTCTGGGCCTCTCATAGGGCCTTGGGAGCAGTTAACAGGATGCCCTACTTGGAGGGTCGGGGGACTTAGTAAGTAGGTAGTAAGTAGACTTATAAGTACCCTAAAAGGGACCCTAATTGGGGTTGTGGTACTTATAAGTCCCTAAAATAACCAGTTACTAAGTCTCCCGACCCTCCAAGTAAGGGCTTTTTAGTGAACTAAGTCGGCTATGGTATACCCCCGAGCCCTATCAGGGCCGAGTGTATGGCCTGGGGTCGAAGGTGTTACGGGGCCGGTGTTCGCGGTGACGTGTCATGACGCGACATGCATTGTGGTTTCAGGGAGGATGATGCACTTGTCAAGCTTCGAGACTTAGGCTGATGCTATGATCTCCTTAGGAATTATTCACGAATTATTTGTAAATTTTTGTTGACATAAAACCCAACAGAATATCAAACATGCTATTTTCATTATGGTTCTACGGGGGTATACGATGCGGGTCAGGGACCGACAGGTCACTGTTGTGCTTAGAGTTTTTTTCAGGCTTCGGAGCTTCGGCCTAAAGCCAAGACACCCTAAACCCCAAACTTAAATCCTAAACCCTAAACCTTAAACCCCAAACCCTCAACGATAGCCATTAAAGCCTTAAGTAATTGAGGGAAACCACAAGAAACCTGTTGTTAGGGCTTTGGGGAGTATATTATACTGCAGCTATGGAAACCCCATCAACCGTGTTGGTAGGGTTTCGGGGTATATTGGAAGATAAGCATGTTTAGAAGCCTCATTCTACTTGCTGGTTACTGCTAGGGAGTGGTTGGGACAGTGACTGCTAGAGATATTTTTTTATCAGTTTCGTTCTTACTTTCTGCCGCGATTCTTGCCATGCGTATGCTTTGCTAGTGTCACTGTTTCTCTGCATACTACGATCATGGCTGCCATCTGTTACTACCATGTGGTTACGACTTTTGTTGTTTCCGACATGGTGTTTTTTTTTGCACGCTTCCCGTTGTTTCTCGTCGCTAGACCGTACAACGTTTTGCTGGTGGTTTTGCAGGATTCTCGGCGTCGGAGAGTCGGAGACCTGCTGTGCATGATGTAAGCTTCGGGCTGCATGGGACCCTGTCTGTCGCGGTTTGAACATCCCAAGCATCTGACAGGTCAGATCGAGATTTGCAGAACCGCCTTTGTGCACACATAGAATCGATCGCAGTAGTCCATTAACTTTAGGTCTTTTTTTGCCAACGGTTGGTTCTTCTGTTCGGAAAGATACCTCTCTGATCTTTGCAGCCGCGTCCGTCGCCATGGGGCAGCAATGCTGTGGAAGTGGAAATCCCACCGGCTTCAGCGGCGCGAGTCATGAAGAGATGCTCAAGGCCTTCCGGGGTCCAGGGATACGACGGGTGATCAGGAACATCTCAACCGTGTAACCCAACCCTAAACCCTGAACAGCAGAGGCAAAGCAACAAGGAAATTGCACCAAGGCCGAAGATCCGATCCGAAAACATGATTATGCCACAGACTCCCCCTGAATCACTACTTCTGCTTCTCTCGAACCCTGCACGTCCAAGCCCGAATGCTTCAACGCCTGAAACGAGAAAGCCAATGGCCTCTGAAGCTTTAAGCCGTAGACCACCCCACAGGCCTTGACCTTGAATCCTCATCGATCCTGAAAGGCACCCGAGGAGGATCTCAAGCCCCGTGATCCAAGATAGAAATGCTTGTGAACTCGTAAGCCATAAACTCACCGAAATCCCGTCTCTTTGCAGCAATTCGGCGACCTGAGCGACGATGCGGCGATGGCCGCAGTCGTTGCCAGTCTCGCTCAGATAACAGAGGAGCACCCTTACTTGAGCCTTGCAGTGTATAGATTTTAGTCTTTTGGGTTCAGGGTCTCGGAGAAGTTGAGTTGATTTTGGAGGGGCGCTTTGGGCTCCGCAGCGTTTGGGATGTGGGAGTTCGGGTTCCATCAGGGTGTGGGTTGTAGTGGCGAGTGTGCCTCCCGAGAGTGAGACCGAAAAATGCACAGCTGTGAGAGACTATGGGGGTTGTGCATGCGCGGCTTAAGCGTTTCAGTTTTTTCGGCGAAGTGGAGTTTTCCACGGTTGGTCATTGCTCTAGGTCTCTGGGAATCGGGTTAGTTTCGTGAGGAGCAGGGCTTAAGCTTATTCAAGGTTAGTTGTAGTCCGCCTTTAAAGGCCCCGGAGCCCCGAACAGTTTAATCATGCGGCATGAACTCAGAATCCCAGCTGCGTTCGTTCCGGCAGGCTTCTTTGTCCAAGGCCCTTGAACCACCTGCCTACAGGCAGAGCAGGTTTGAATTTGAGATAGTTTAGGGTGTTTTGGGCTTTAGGGTGTAGGGTGTATGGTGTAGGCTGTGACGTTTTACGGTTTTGAGTCTGCTGTAACCCCGTGATGCCACACCTCTTTGAGAATTGCAGAAGGACGGTGACAGCATACAGGCCTGAATGATGAGCAATATCAATAACATCCCCTTACAGTCCCATTGTAGCTATATTGCAGTGTACTCCGCCACCCCAGATCAACTATTGTTAAAAGGCTCCTACAATACGGTGATGTTCATCCTCGTAACCTTCCGAAAGTGCACATTCGAGGATTCAAATCAAAGGAGACACAGATAATCACAGCCATGCTCCCTCCGAAAGTGTCACCAGCGTCAGACGCCTCCGGAAAAAGAAAGGAAGTCAGAGACAAGAATGATCAAAGGCCCTAGGCTCTAGCCCGCTTGGATCCGCGTCCACTTGTAGAGCAGTTATATGAGGATGCGGGTGCACTTGTGCTAAACGGTGCTGGCGGGAATGACATTTTTTTACGCAATTAGGGAAATCTCCAAATTAAGTGAGCTCCCTAAACCTAAACCCTAGTCCTTAAACCCTAAGCCCTAAACCCAGAGCCCTAATCAAGTGAGCTCCCCACGTAAGAAAAACCAAGGAAGCCGATGGGTACCGAGCCCATGCCCCACCAGCTGCTATACTGGGTGAGGAGGCTCGGAGTTTTCGTTAAGGGTTCCTTTAAAAGGATCTACAGGGTTTAGGGAGTTTAGGGGGTCCCTTTAAGGGATCCGTAAGGGTTCCTTTAAAGGGATCCATGGGGCTTTGGGGTTCCTTTTAAGGGTTCCCTTTAAAAGGGCCTGCAAGGGGTGCATTCCTTCACAATTAAAGTTTTGGGTATCAGATGGGGCTTGAATAAGATGTTCTAGGCCTAAATACAAGCCGCGTGCTACTCAGAATAAGGCGTTGAAGTATATTGCAGTCAAGCTCTATTGTTGCTCAGTACCCAGATCTCTATCTTAGGGCGTATGGGTTTGTATCTCATAGGTCTCCATGGCGTGCGGTACAGTATGGGGGTTGTGGGTGTAGGGGCTTAAGATTGTAGGTGAGGGCTTCTGGGTTTAGGAGTTGTACCTTTAGCATCTAGACCCGAGGCTCATAGAGCTCGGGGTGATCTAGGAGTGTAGAGGTCTTACTTAAAGGGTCATGGGACTTAGTAACTAAGGTTAGAATTAGGGTAACTAAACTTATTACCCCAGTTAAGGTACATATAGCCTGACTTACTAAGTCCCATGATCCTGCAAGTATGGGTGTTCGTACACGCCCTCTGTGGGGCTTCTTAGGGTTACACAGGGAGTTACAGCGTTTGCATCGGAATGTTTGAGAGATTCGTAAGGTTCGGCGCTCGCATCGGGGCTTGTTTGGGGTTCGGGGACTTTGGGATGAACCTGATGCTATGCACAAACCTGGAGAAAACTGCCCGAAGACCCCAAAGACTAAGTGTGTAAACCCTAAACGACCAACTCTCAACCCCATACCATGAGGCCTGAAGCACTACGGTTGATGATATAAATCCTGCATTACCCAGAACAAGGAATATACAGTAATTCCCCATAGTTTTGGGTCCTTAAGGTAATGCAGGTTTTATATCATCCACAATAACATGCCCAAGGATGCCTTGAATCCGAGGCTGTGTCCCCCCCCCCCAGTTTGCAAAGTAACATTAGGGTTTAGGGTTTAGGGCATCAGAGGTCTCTGGGCGATTCCCAAACCCGAAGCGCACAACTCAAAGCTGTAACAATCCCTCAAGCTCTGAAGCTGCAGAAGTCACAGCCACTTAACTCCCATACCCTAGGCTCCCCTGTCATTCGTACCAGTATCTTAGGGGTACTGAGACATTTTTTAAATCTTTGGTTCCTTTAATCCCTAAGAAGCAGCTAAACCTATCATTTTTGCTAGGGGTCTAAGTTCAGTAGAGGTGGTAACGTAGGGGCCTTAATAAGAATAGGATTTGGGGGTATGTCATATGATAAAATCGTAAGGACTATCGGGCCTCTCCCTATATTACCGCTTGGAGGATCATGGGACTTAGTAAGTAAAATTTAGGGTCCCTTTTCAGGGTCCTATAGGGTTCTATAATAGGCTTCCTTGAAGGGATCTATAAGGGGTCTATAATGGCAGGTTCATGGGACTAAGTAAGTAAGGTTATAAGTACCTTAATTGGGGTTATAAGTATAGGTTACCCTAATTATAACCCAAGTCCAATGATCCGTTAAGCAGCATTCACTGTAGGTCCCTACTGCACCCAAGCTCTCCCATATCTCCCAGAGCCCCAAGCAGCGGCCCGAATCCCACATCCCGATGCCCAAAGGCCGGCGAAACCAAAAGAAACCCCGTAAAGTTGGAAACCGGATTGAGGCCAAATAGTGCTGGGATTCCCTATACATTACTCTTAAGGATTGAGGTCATTGGGTTTCCAACTTTTGGGCTTCTATTGTAAACCAAAAGAAACTCCAAAACCCCAAAGCCCACGCCCTGTTCGATACAGAAAAGCCCAAACGGAGTTCGCACTCCCCCTGAGCAGTCGAAGCAGGTGCATGGCTCCTAAATCCCAGAAACTCCGCCCTGAACCGTTGCATCCCCAAACCCCCAGGTGCTGACACAGTCATGTAGCCGAAGATCGCGTAACGTTGTCTAATGCAGCTCTTTCGGAAATCCTATAAGGGCCCCATTCTTAGCCCTAGAAGCTCAGACGCAAAGCCGCAAAACCCTAAAACATGAAGCACACCCTAGAAGGGTGCCGGCCCTTCCACAGCTACTAGAAAGCCTTATGAAACCCTATAAATCCTCCAACTTAATGCCGTGAAGCAGGTACCATTCTATGACTCTATGTTAATCCCCAGGCCTCAAACCATCAAAGCCAAAGTCCCGAAGCGCATGAAGCCCTGTAAACACGTTTACGGAAACCTACAAGAACGCTAAAAGGCCTTTCAGCCAGTTTAAAGCAGGTGCCGGACCTGAAAAGCCCTTCGCAAGCCATCATAAAGCCGTATAGCACACCGTAAAAGCCTCCAGACAACATAAGCCTTGAAACAGGTTCCACTCGAGATGAACCCTACGCCCTAAGTTCTTCAGCCCAAAGCCCCCCCAGTGAATTCTGAGCCTCAAGCCAGCAGGTGCCCTGATCCGAAAGAACCCTTCCAACGCCGTTAGAAACCCCATAATGTCCCCTAAACCCTAAACCCCTAAACCCTAAACCCCTAAACCCTAAACCCTAATGTCCTGTAAATCCTTTCGAGTTAAAGCCTTGAAGCAGAAAGCAGGTGCCGGGAGTGCATCATCATCAGGAACTCCACGGAGGCCATGAGCTGCGTGGAGCGGATCCAGCGAAGCAGCGCGGATGCATCTGGTTTTTGACGGAGTTCTCCGGGCTCTTACAGGGTCTTAAGGGTTCAGAGTTTAGGGTCTGAAGCATTTTGATGAATTGATGTACAGGGCGTCTATCGGCTTTGACTTTGGTTTTGTTCTTCAATGGTCGGATTTTTATGGAAAGTTGAAGGCTTTTGGAGGGCTTTCCTTGGTTTTGGCAGGTATAAGGATGCAAGGGCCTTTTTGGGTTTTTGCTGAGGCTCCTTAAAGGTAAGGGTTCGATGCGGGTTTAGGTTTGAGGCTTTAGGGTTGTCGCAGTTTTGAGTGTTTGTTTTTTTGAGGTGTTCAACTTCAGCGTTTAGATGAAAGCGTTCTGCCTGTGAAATCGCTGTATACTTGTAGAACCCTATACTATACCCAGACAGAGCTATCAAAACCACAAACCCCAGACCTGCAAGCCCAAATAAGCCCTAAACAACCCTTCAACCCTAAACCCAAAGCCCTAAAGCCTTAAACCCGACAACCCTAAACCTTAAGCCCTACAACCTTAAACCCTAAGTTCTACACCCCTAAACCCTCAAAGCCCAAACCCTAAATATGAAACCCTGAACTGTAGAACCCTAAACCTCAAGCGGCTTTACGAATTCTTATCGTTTGAGCTTCAATTTTCTTATTCTATGAAGAAGTTATCCTATTTTAAGTAGCTCACAAGCTAGTTGTCTCTCAACAAAGTCTGCTATGGATGACTCCATCGGAGACTCCTAAGGCGTACAGGCCTCAGAGTGAAACGCCGAGCCCCAACACTCGGAGGTCTGAACTATGAGATGGCTCAGATCAAGGATGCCTTCCGGCGGTGCCTGGGAAAGGGGGGTGGGGGGTAAAGGGTTTTTGGGAATTTAGGATTGTTAGGTTTAGGATTTCAGGGCTGAGGGTTTAAGAGGTTAGGGATTAGGGCTCCAGGATAGGTGGAAAAGCCGTGGCAAGCTTTGGTTCGCTTTGCGTGCTTTTGTCGATCGGTATAATAGGGTTCGGTTGTTTTGTGGTGCTTGCAGGTTCGTTGCGGAGGATTTCCGTGAGTCTTCGTTGTTCGGGTTTGGACAGGTCCTGTGGCGATCACGGGTAGTTGTACGCTAAGCGATGAGTGCATTGATGGCCCTGAGCCCCAAACTTAAAGCTATTCCTAATAGTGGAGTAGGTGACCTTTAACCCTTTTTGGGTAGTATAGTCCCTATCTAATCCCTATATAACCAAAAAGGTTAACCTTTAGTTCTTCATGATACCCGACCAGTAGGTATTGGTTACGCTTCATGCTTGCTTCGCATATGGGGTTTCCGAAAATGGGGGACCCTAATATAATACCCCAAATAGTAGGATCCTTATTATAAGGATCCCACAATAAGGTACCCCCTAATTTTCGGAAACTCCCATATAACTTGACTTGACCGTCCCTGATCCTCCCAGTTTAGTGTTGAAGGTGTCGGGCAGGGCAGAGGGACGAGGGTCAAGTTGTTCCTGGCTTTAGGGGCTTCGGGGTATATAGTAAACTCCATAAAGTTGGAAACCGGATTAAGGCCAAAGAGTGCTGGGATTCCCTATACATTGCTCTTAGGGATTGAGGCTACGGGGTTTCCAACTTTTGGGCTTCTACTGTAGGGTGTCCGCCAAAGTCCTTCAGGCTGGTTCGAGGTCTTTGATGAGGATTTCGGTGACGTTAGAAAACCAATAGAAAATCAATAAAAACCAATAGAAAATCAGTAAAAACCAATAAAAACCAATAGAACACCAATAGAAAACCGTTCAGGGGTTGCGACGTTCAGCTTTTATGTCAGCGGCTTTGAGTCTTAGGTGCCCCTTCTGAGCGTCTGAAGCTTGCCAATGGTAGACTGCAGATCGCGACCCAGAGAGCCCAATACCCCTTAACTAAGGAATATGGCTTAAATTATATAGGGCTTCATATTATGATTTAAACTATATTCCTTAATTAAGGGGTATTGGGCTCTCTGGGGAGCGCGAACACAACAATTGAACCAGTTCAGCCGGCAACGCAGTGTGGAACGGTGTAGAACGCGTAAACCTGCACAGCGTTTCTGTTGTGCACAAGATGCCTTAGTCCAATTGGCAGGTCATCAGCATGAGTTTATGATTCGAGCAACTTTCACAAGTTCAAAACATGACACATCACGCCACTTTCAGATTCGAAACGATGGGTGCCTGAGCTGCGCATTCTTCGTCTGGCATGGCCCATATGCTCCATTGTCAAACCTCACAGCTTTGCTTAAGGCGGTGTTGCATCATCGCAAAAACGGAGAAAAGCGGAATAATTACTCACCAACGCCTGAAAGCAGTCCTCCCCAAAAAGCTTGCATACCAGACAAAATTGTACGAAGTCCTTCCTGGAGGTTTGATGCAGACAGCTCTGGGCACTTGGACCAGAACGAGTTTAAATACCTCTGCGCCTACATCGGCACCTGCACCTGCAGACAGCCCTCCCCAAGCCCCAAAGGAACCCTTGGTTTCCTGAAGCCGGGAGTCCACATGAAGCCTACACCCTGGACTCTAAGACCTTCGGTGCCTTGAGACTAAAGCTCCGCAGCCCGGGAGAAGAGGGGCTTTCAACCCGAAAATCCTGAACATCCCTATGCGAGCTCCTATCAACGTAGAAGCCCGAATCATTAACATTAGTAATACCATTCCTTACCGAAGTATACTCTAATCTAACCTGCCAGAACGGCATTGTACTTGTGAAGGCCCCTTGACTGAACCCTTGCGGATCGATAGGCAATGTTTTTGCAATCTTGTAGTCGGACAGCAAATCACATAGCACCCCGGGGTAAAACCTTCAAAACCCTTTGAGAGCATTTGAAGGAAGGACGCCTGTATGAAAGGCCTTTTCCTAATTGTTCGGGCCCCTGCATTGATACTTAAAGGATCATGGGACTTCGTAACTGGGTTATAATTAGGGTAACTATACTTATAACCCAAATTAAGGTACTCATAGCCTTACTTACTAAGTCCCATGATCCTTCCATTATAGACCCCTTATAGGTCCCTTTACGGAACCCTATTATAGAACCCTATAGTACCCTAAAAAGGGACCCTAAACATTACTTACCAAGTCCCATGATCCTCCAAGTACACTTCTAAGGAACCCTACCCTAAACCCTAAACCCTAAACCCTAAACCCTAAACTCATGGCCTAGGCCGCCCACCTTCGATGGTGGGCGGCCCCTCGACATCGATGGCGCAGGTCGATCCAGGACGCTCGCTCGCGTCACCTGGAGGCCGCTGGAGGTGCTGAGCTGGTTTGACCACCCCCCCGCCCGGGGGGCTTGGAAGCTCCAGCGAGCAGTTCCAGGACCTAGGGGCCTCCTGGCCCCCCTGACCCGCCCCAGCCCGCCCCTTGCCACCATGGCCCCCTGGCCCCCCTGACCCCCCCTGACCCCGCCGGCGCTTACCTCCTGCCGTACTCTGCCCTACTCTGCCCTGCCTTTTCGGAGCACACACTTGGCTTTGTTAACCAACATGGACCTAACAGAGTTTAGGTCCTAAGCCCTAAAAGGTATAGGTTTGGGTGGTTTGCCGCCTGGGACGGCGTGGGGTGGGTGAGTTATGTGATGGCCCGCCACAGTCGGGCCATGGCTGCGATTCGCAGACAAAACCGCTGATAAATCCTGCAATCCCTGTTGCACTACCGCTACGCAATCTTGCAGCAAACCCTAAACCCTAAACCCTAAACCCTAAACCCTAAACCCTAAGCCCTACGCCCTAAACCCTAAACCCTAAACCCTAAGCGAGCGTGCTCTCCAGGCTGGGGGGAGGAGGAGGCCCAGGCCATGATCATGGACCTGGATCAGGACCAGAAGGTCTCCTACGAGGAGACCCAGAGAGCCCAATACCCCTTAATTAAGGAATATGGCTTAAAATATATAAGGCTTCATATTATGATTTAAGCTATATTCCTTAATTAAGGACCAGAAGGTGTCCTACGAGGAGACGGCTTTCGCTGGAGTGTTGTCGGACTTTTTCTTACCCTAAACCCTGGAAACTAAACCCTAAACATTAAAACCCTAAACCCTAAAACCCTGAACCTTAAAACCCTAAATCCTAAACCCTAAACCCTAAAAACTAAACCCTAAACCTTAAAACCCTAAACCCTAAAACCCTAAACCCTAATTACATGGAGTGTTCTAAGGCCAAGAAGGTCCCCTGTTTACAAGGTGGCTTGGGCTCGTGAATTATTTTGTCTTAGTGCTGTTTGGAGAGTGTTTTGTGACTTTTATAGGGTTTGCCATTGTGGCTTCGAGTCTAGTCGCCATAGAGCTGTTTGTTGGAAATTCATTTGGGGATCCTTATAAGCAAGATTCGATGAATCCGGCCTGTATGAGGGTCCGGTATGATCTGAGATGCCCATGTTCGTTTCAAGGTCTCTCTAAAGCTCGCCACAAAGTTTTCAGTAGAGTGTTTGATATCCGGATTGTGAAGGCTTAAACGCTAAACTCTGGTCTTTTGTTTGCTTATGTTTTGGGCCCAGGGTGTAGGTTTTGGCGGTTCGAGGGGTCCTTGCCGGACCAGTGCTAGGTAGATACTTGACAGCAGAGCCCCTCAAACCCTTACCTAAGTAAGCCCCTCAAAACCGCGCGAACCTGCAGGTGCCATCCTCAACCCGACACTTTAGGGTTTAGGGTTTAGGGTTTAGGGTAAACGATGTACCCTACAACTGTGTCAATTGAGATGGTCGAGTGTGGAAGGAGTTTCAGCTCTTCGTCGGCCACATGGGTCCAGGTCTCAGTTTGTTGTGTCTGTCTGCTTAGGGTACGGGGTTTGAGGTTTTTCGCGCACCCTCCCAAAAGTCTTGCAGATTTCGGCAACTTCCGAGGTGGCCTACAAGCGCTTTTCGAAAACCGCCGGAAGCGCGTGGCCAACAAGAACTGGGGCATCTGGGCTTTTCTGTGAAAGTCATCCGGTGCTAGAGGCTTCGGGCAACAGAGCTTTGGGTTCGCGTGCGTAGGGTTTTAGGGTTTAGGATTATACATAGGCTATAGCTTTTTTTTTGGTTTAGGGTGTAGGGATATGTAGGATGAAGTGTTTATTGGTTTTAGGGTTTAGGGCTATTTTGGGTATAAGGTTTGGCTCCCTGAACCTTACACCTCAAACCCTGAGCCTAAACCTTAAACGAAACGCACCTCAAACCTTAAAGGAGCCTTTGAACCCAAAGCCCATTGAGCCTTGGTCCCCAGAGACTCCAATATCCCCTCACTGAGGAATATACCTTAAATCATATTAAGGATCCTACTATAATTGAAGGTATATTCCTTAATTTAAGGATATTGGAGTCTCTGGGTCCCGACCAAAAAAAGGAGAGGATCCGCCTGCCGTGATCGAAGTCGGAGCTCGAATCCGCGCTTTTTACTACACTCCGGAGCGGCCCTCAGTAGTTGCAGGTTTTGACCCTAAACCCTAATCCTAAACCCTGAACCCTAAACCCTAAACCCTAAACCCGGGGAAGGGCTTTAGGGTTTGGGGCTTCAGTTTTTGAAAGAGGGCTTGAGGGTTGCGACTTTAGGGTTAAAGGGCTTTAGGGTTCCGGCTTAGAGTCGGTTTAGGGTTTGGGGTCCTGGGTTTTGGGCGCTTAAACAAGCTTTAAACTTCAAGTACCAAGAGATTTGGAGAGCCTCAAGGAACTGCACGCCTCGCGAGTGGCGCGCGACTCAGATCGCCCGATTTACAGGCACTGGAACCGCCGGAGGCGGTCCAGCTCATCCTGCAGGTGGACTTCTGGCAATTGGATCCCTGGAGCATGCCCCGGCCAACACAAGTCGACGTGCGAAATTTCTCAGATTCCCGTGTTTACCAGGACAAATCAGGTGTCAAAGGAAGAGTTCTGGGGATGCCGACGGTTTCAGTTTCTGTCGTGCAATACGACACTTCCCATGACATAGGGGGACAGGCACGTGCAGGACGTCAGGGAAATGAATGACAAGGAGAAGTACACCCCTTCAAACACCAACCCTCGAAACCTTAAGCTCGCAAGCCCTCCCTAAACCCTAAACCCTCAACCCTAAACCCTAAACACGTATTCAAACCCCTGAACCCCGCACAGCCCCATCCCCAAACAGTCAAACCACAGCCCCCACACCCCAAAAAAACTAGCAAACCAAGTCGCGTCCTACGGTTGATGGTTTGAATCCTGCATTACCCATAAGAAGGAATATACCGTTTACCATAATTCCCATAGTTTAGGGTCCTTAAGGTCATGCAGGATTTATATCATCAACAGTACGTCCCTGGAGCCGCCTTAAACCCTAATCGAGCCATTGGCCCTCATTCAACCCCGGATCACTCAAGCCCCCACTGACCCTGCTTAAAGGCCCAGGAGGCTTGGTAGGTAGGGTGATGAGTACCGCATGCCTAGCCGTAAGTTTGAGTATGCTACTTGAAACCCGTGCTTTCTAAGTCGGTCCCTTAAGCCCCTTTGTTTCCGAGGAAGGGAAGAAGTCGACTTCGTGGAGGGAAGCGCAGGCACAGCGGGGTCGAACGCCCTCAGCCTCGGTCCCCGTTGGGAAATTTAAGAGCAGGGATTTTTTGCATTAAGACCCTTGACAATGGACCAACACTAAAGCCTAAAAAGCCCAAACCCCTGAAAACTTCAGGCGGCGTGTACTAGAATTACATACTTGGCGATTCTGACAGAAACCCCCAAGACGTGAAACCTAGTCGCCTAAACCGCTTGACCCCACGCCTAGTTCCCTAACGCTCGCAAGACCGGCCATACCCCCCCAAGCTCTGCAGTTTGAAAGGCCCAGACCTCGAAGCCTAAAAATTCAAAGCCCATTCAACTAGAGCCCGTAGAAGCCGTTAAGGCAGAAGCAACTGAACGCCTAAATCCAGAAACCTCTGAGCCCTGCCAAGGCTTCGCAAGGAAAAGCATTGAGCAAGACTGCTTGGCTTACCATGATTTCAATGTATGGTCGCACGCCAGTTGTTGTCTTGGTTATTGTAACTTACTTGCATTATACAGATTCCTAAGCGAAAACTAAAAGCTTGAAATAACCCTACACACTTCCGGAAATGCTTCTATTCCCCAGACAAACCCACGCCCCCTGAGTCAGATCTATATGTCGCTAAATTGAAAGTAAAGCACAGGCTGAAGAAGCCTAAAACCTAAACCCTTAACCCAAACCCCTTGCTGTAATCCATAGACTCTGCATCCCCAAAACCCTACTGCAGACCATCAACGTCGTTCAACTTCAGACCGTAAGCCCGAAGGTTTTGGAGATGAACGTGATGCCGGAGAACGGGGTCAGGCGTTCCAAGGGTTCTAGGGCTTGTAAGGTTTATGGTTAAACACTAAACCCTAAACCCCTAAACCCTAAACCCTAAACCATAAGCCCTAAACCCTAAACCGGGTTTAGGGCTCAGGGCTTACAGTCCCAGGGTTCTACGGAGATCTCTGGTCCTGTCGTTGCAACTCTTCAGCTACGGGCATGTGGGTCTCGTAGTAGTAGTGAGGGCTACATGGCTCGAGGGCGTCGTTGGACACCGATGACGATGGTGACGACACGGAGAATGTGAGGATGATGGTGCGGAAGATTGCGGTGATGAGAATCATGTTGATGGTGTGGAAACTGGATGTTAAATTGCACGAACAGTAATAGTTGCTCTTAAGATGCAGGCTCATCGGCTTTTGCTATTGCCTCTAGAGGTCTACTGCTCTTGAAAGCCTTCCACGATCACGGTAGTGGATGGCGTCGTCATGCGGGTCGGTGCAGCTACGACTTCTACTTGCAACAGGCTGTAAGTTTTAGCCGTACAGAACTCCTGCGACACATGCATACACAGGGATGCATTCATTTAGTCCTTCCATCCTTCCGTCCTTTCTGCCTTCATTCATTCGATCGTTACATTATTTATGTGAATATGTACATGTGAATGAATCGCAGTACAAAATGTTCCCAGCCTTTTTCTCAATTTTATAACCCTACACGCCACAGCCCTGAACCGCTAAACCCCTAAACCTCTGAATCCCTGAACCCTCAAGCCCTGCACCTTTAACCCCAAACCCTAAGCCCAATAAGTTGGGTACTGCCCCCACTCAGTAACAGTTGGATAATAAATATAGATATATTAGGCCCTTTATAGTAGCCCTATTTTAGACCGTTACTGCATGGAGGGCAGTGTACAACCTACAAGCTCTAACCCGAAAGCCTCGAACCCACAACCCTAGACCCTGAGCCCCACGCACAGGTGATGAAGCTATCATATAGCAATTTGCATGGTCATCGTCATAACATTGGTTCTCGTAATATTAAAACGTGGCTTGGAAGAACAATGCTAGTAAGAGTGATGGTAATAAGAACTTTGATGACAATATTGATAATGCTCATGACTACTATCACTGCTACTACGGTCTTTATCATTATCATTATCATGATCATCAGGTTGACATATACACACCAGGTGAGGGTTTAGGGTTTTTAAAGTTTAGTGATGCATGCAGCTGCTTAGTTCGTGGAGCCTTGGCTTGCAGCACGCCCCCTTACAACGCCCTTCCCTGACCCAATGACACTTGGAGGTTCATGGGTAGTTTTAATGGGTAGTTTTAAGTTGGGTTTTAAGTAAGGTAGCCATAATGATAACCCATAGAAGGGGACTTTTAACCCCACTTACAACTACCCATGAGCCTCCAAGCACCCCAAATCACCTCCTTTTGCACTCCCACCCTCATTCGAAGGCTCCTTTTCGGCTTCGGGGAGGACAAGTCGGAGCGACAGGCGCGTGATATAGGGGCCTTCATAATCACTTATGCTATGTTGGGGGTTCCTTATTATGATTATAGTATAATGTACCCCCGAACCCCATTCTATCTATTGAGGACCCTATACTTGAAGGATCATGGGACTTAGTAAGTAAGGTTATGAGTACCTTACTTGGGGTTATAAGTATAGTTACCCTAATTATAACCCTAGTTACTAAGTCCCATGATACTTTAAGTATACTGAGCTGCGCTTTAAGACAGAGCCCACCTGGAGCTCGGGGTTCGGGGCTTGAAACTTCCCTCCTTGCAGCGGAGTGGGACGAGCAAGCGTGACTATATCTACACATACATACATATATATATATATATATTATGTATATGTATGTATATATATATATATATACACATCTGTATACATACAGTAGCTGGTAGCATCCTGGGCATGCCTGGAGGATTTGGGAACACAACGCTTGAACCCTAAGCCCGAAACCTGATAGAAACAGCAGTCAACAACCAGTCTGATAAAAACCCTAAACCCTAAACCCTAAACCCAAGCCATACCAGCCTTTAGCAGCTCCAGGCACCCAGCCTTATCCTCATGCCCTTAAAGTAAAGTATAAGGGATCCTAGCACTAATCCTCCTAAATCCATGTTCCAACTTTCTGGCTTCTACTTTAGCAGTTAGGGTTTAGGGTTTAGGGTTTAGGGTTTAGGGGTTTAGGGTTTAGGGTTTAGGGTTTAGGGTAGAATCTTTATGAAACACCAAAAACACTCTTGTAATGCACAGGGAGTCCTGAGTGAGTAAGTTAGGGGCTTGAACAGCTAGTAGTGGCACACCCGCAGAGTCCGTATATGATTATGCTTACACCCAACTACATCCCAAACCCTGTCCTAATGATGAAGGCCCCTAAATTAAATGAACCCTAGCAGCCCTGTACATCCCTGGTAGCAACCCTGAGAGGAGTTGGACCCTGTATACACACCTTAAAGAGGAACCCTATTATAAAACCCTTACAGGAACTCTACATTACATAGAAAGCCTCAAAGGAACCCTATAGTACCCAGTGAAGGAGCCCGGTCCACCCCGCATAGAAAGCCCGTGTACTAGAACCTGTACAGTAACCCTATGGTATAACCCCTATAAGATACCTTTACAGGAACCCTTTAAGGGAACCCTGTAAAGGAACCCTTTCAAGGAACCCTTTACAGGAACCCTTTAAGGGAACCCTTCAAAGGAACCCTTTAAGGGTTCCTTCAAGGGATCTTTCGGGGTTCCTTTAAGGCAGGTATGGGGGTTCCTGTAAGGGATCTATAGGGGTTCCTTTTAAAGGACTCCAATGTTATCCTCGAGGTGGTCCCCCCGAGCTGGATCTTCTATGACAGCCGCGACAGCGAAGTGGTCGCGGCCCTCCGGGAGGCGGGTTTGGTTTCAACTCGTGCAATGTCCTAACCCTTAAATGCAAAGCCCTAAGCCACCCTTAACCCCCGAATTACAGAGTTCGTGATATGGTTTTAGGGTTTTGAAGGGATGCCTTCAGAGGTTTCACAGCGAATTTTCCAGGGGTTTCCGAGGTTCTCTCCATGGCGGAACCGGTGGGGCTTTCTTGTTTGGGGGCTTGAAGGGCACAGGCTTTAAGGGGTTGGGGTTTGGGTCTGGGATTTCATTTTTTCGGGTAGATGGTCTAGGGACTTCAGGATTCAGTTTGCAGACTTGTAGGGTTTAGGGTTTAGGGTTTAGGGGTTTAGGGGTTTAGGGGTTTAGGGTTTAGGGTTGAAAAGGCTTTTGCGGTCAAGGGTTCACGGTATTCTTTGCACTGTCCTTCGATTAGGTTTCAGGGCTTCGGCTTGAGCTTTCAGTGCCGCGAAGTTGGGCGACGCTGATTCCCTGAACAACTTTTCTCGGGGCCTTGTTGACACCCCCCAAATCCCTTCAGCAGACACATGAACAAATAAACACTCCTTCAGTAGACAAATGAACAAACCAAAAATCCTCCAAACCCCAGACTAACTTTTCAGGTCCCTGCCTTAAACTCCAGGGATTAGGGTTTAGGGAGTTTGGGTTTAGGATTTAGGGCCCACTTCAGGTCGGAATCCTCGAAGAGCAGCAAGCCTTCTGGGCATCGATCTTTCCCCAGTCAGAGATGCGCGCGGTGGGGGGACCTGGCTGTTCGTTGTACTTACAAAAGGATCATGGGACTTAGTAGTTAGCGATGTAATTTGGGTAACTATATTTATAATCCCAATTACGGTGCTTTTATACGGCTTCGGAGCGTTATAACCTTAATTACTTACTAAGTCCCGTGATCCTCGAAGTAGGGACCAGGATCTCGGTCTCCCAGACATAACCTTTGGCCCTGGGTACGTTCGTTCGTTCATAGGGTCCGTCTATCCATCTCCGTCTCCATGTCCATGTCCATCTCGATCTCTGTCTCTCTCTCTCTCTCGATTTCTTTCTGTCTCTCTCTCTCTCTCTCTGTCTATATCTATACCGTCTATACCTATAACAACTGTATCAAATATCTATACCTGCATCTATATATGGGTATCTGTATCAATAGCTCTGTTTGTATCTGTATCTATGTCTATACCTCCGCCTATATCTGTACCTGTATCTATATCTGTTTCTATGTCTGTACCTGCATCTTTTGATCTGTATATATATATATATATTTCTGGAGTCCGGGGGGCTGTGGGAGTGCACCTTTTTCCACAAAATCTAAGTATCGCATTGTCGAGCCACCTAATGAACCACCTGCGAGAATAGGATACAGGCAGACGCACACATACTTAAACGAGCATTCATTCAACTTTTTTTACACACATGTATACCAAGGTATGAGTACACAACCGACATTCTTTCTTTCTCGTTCGCAAGCTGTTATATCGTTGCCACGGAAGCTCAAACAGTCTTTCTTGGTTTTCTCGTTTCGTATTGGATTACCAGCAACAAATGCGTTGTAAAGTGGCACATACATGTATTTAGCATATTTTATTTATAGTCATATTCAGAAGAATAATCGAAATATAGAAAGCATATTGATATGTGGACAAGCTAAACATATAAATCAATGAACAAATCCTCTAACACGAAAGAAATATAATTTAACATACAAGCATAATATGTTCTTTAAGCTTATAAAGTTGTTGGCCAATACAATATATAGATATGCACCCATTTAGGAAAGCCTACGTCTTCCAAATAATTGACTTCATATAGAGATTTATATACAATAAGATAACATATAATCAAGATTATGAACATCGACAATAACGAACCAGTATCGTAATAACGAACATGAGATTAAAGATAAAACTTCTATTAGTATCCAATGACAATATTCAAAATTAGCAAATATTTTTCTTATACAATAACGTTATGATAAACAAATAAATATTCATACAAACAAATGAAATAAGCTAGATTCACTAATTATGCCTTCAGTTTTTACTTACGAAAGAAAACAAGGTTTCGCATAGAACAGTACTCGTACTTTATTTTTTATATCAACACAGTTTACACATGCATTTCAAAAATAGGTACTCATACATATTCACGTATATATACATATATATAGCACACATGCATACTTACATATTTCCCACGCACAGGTATCGATACACATCCAAGTTTTCTAGTATACTAAGAAGAGCCTATGTGAGATTATAATAAGATTGAATAACTATACCAATTTACAACAATATAACCACCAGTACTATACACTTTGTTTTGTTAGAAAAATATTCACAAAAAGTATCGACGAATCGGTATCTACCTATATATTTCAGAGACCCATTTAATAGTCCTCGTATTAACACTAAAAATGGTAGTTACTGTAAAACAAGCGGAGTTCGACAGATAATTGATCGCTATATCACGCAGGCCCGAGTAGCCTACAAGAGTGACGAAGGCATAATTAATGAATCTAGCTTATTTCATTTGTTTGTATAAGTGTTTATTTGCTTATCATAACGTTATTGTATAAGAAAAATATTTGCTAAATTTGAATATTGTCATTGGATACTAATAGAAGTTTTATCTTTAATCTCATGTTCGTTATTACGATACTGGTTCGTTATTGTCGATGTTCATAACCTTGACTATATGTTATCTTATTGTATATAAGTCTCTATATGAAGTCAAGCAGGGATACCCAAATAGCAATCCATATAGAACTATGTAGTGTTTGCTTGTGTGTGTACGATATGAAGTCTGCACTCAAGGTGACGTCGCTGTAGTTCTGATGCGCCTCGCATACTCACAAAGCTTCTCATCATCCTGAGAACAAAAAGTGCTGATGTGCAAGTGTGGTATTTCGCACTGCTATCTAGTCGTATACGTTGGCCATGCTACGTTATGTCCCTGGGAGTGCGCATCTGCCGTGATTTACGCGCGAGTCTTTCGAAAAAGCAAAAAAAACACAAAAAACAAAAGAAACCAAAAAAAACAATTATCAGAGACTCCTGGACTGAGGTGTCCATGGCCGGAGAGTGTCAGATCTTTGGTTTTTTTGGTTTTTATGGTTTTTTTGTTTTTATGGTTTTTTGGTTTTTATGTTTTTTTGGTTTTTATGGTTTTTTTGGTTTTTATAGTTTTTTTGGTTTTATGGTTTGTTGAATTGTTTTTGAAAGACGCGCGCGTAAATCACGGCAGAGGCGCACTCCCAGGGTCCCCCGTTCTGTATATATATATATATATGCTTGTATAAAGTATACTTATGAATGTCTATTGAAGACACAGAATAGTCAGATAGATAGGCAGATAGAGAAATATCAGTGTAAGAAAAACTGTACGACTTTCAAACCATAGGACAACCACGGATATGAACAGCAGTTAACACAGATATACATATAAATAGGAAGAAAACACAAATACATGGGAATGAGTAGGCGTATAAATGTTAACAAAGATATGTTGCCTGTGGTTGCATTCTGTCTCTAGTGCTTGTTGAGCTATGTGGACCCAGCCATAGCTGCTGCCAAACTCGTGGAAATGCAATCTCCTCAATGGTAAAAAGTAAAAGCTAGGGCATTCCAGCGCTAATCATCCTTCCACTTTCCATCTCTTTGAGCTTACTCTAGTAAGTTGAGGGGCTTGGGGGTTAAAGGCTTTATGGGCATATCAGGCAGTAAGGTTCAGAGCACTCGCTTCAGGATTCGAAGTTTCTTATTTAAGGTATTTTGGGGACCCTTCCAGACCCTTGTAGCAGGAATCCCGAAAGGACCCCCATTCTAATTTTCCAGGCCCCTCGATGAATCCCCGTCTTACCACTCTTTTCATTTCGTGCTAGCCCTAAACCCGAACCCGAAAACCCCCGATCCCAAGCCCCCTGGCATTAGCCTCTAAACCCCAAACCCTAAACCTATACTACAGGGGCCTTAATGATCACTACAAACCCATAACCCTAAACCCCTAACTCCCAAACCCCAAACCCTAAACCTCAACCCCGAAACCCTTAACCCCTACAATCCTAAGCCCCCCTTAAGGAGCCCTTCTAGAACCCTATAATCCCCTTAAAGAACCCTGTTCTTTCTCAGGTCGCCAAGCTGGTGCCCTGCCAGCGGCAGGCCCTGGCGCACGTGCGCGCGAACGCCTCGGTGAACCACGACAAGGCCGGGGGGCTGAACGGGGGGGCCCCTTTTAAAGGGTTGCAGGTTTAACATTTTAAATATGCTGTAAGGGCTTTCCGGTGTATTTTTTAACAATATGTTTTAAGGTTTCCAGGTTTAGTATTTTAATATAGAAGGGTTTCAGGTGAAGTGATATCTAAATAAGTCTGTTATCATTATGATTCTTCTTATGGTGTGTTAGCTTTTCTCCTGCACGGCGCTCATTTCTAAAAGGGTTAAAGATTTTCGGCCTAAGGTCTCCTTTGAGGGCTCCTGTAAAGGGTTCCATGAAGGGCTCCCTTATGGCTTTGTTGTTTTCGTTGCTATTTGTTACTAGTGTTGTGGCTATCAGGATAAATTCGATCTTAGTTTTCCTTTACGAGCTGCTTTAAGGGTTGCTTTGAGGATCTATTCTTTTTCGGTCGGGGGTTGCACTTGGGCACCATTTTAAGATCGTTTTTTATTGAGAGCAAACAAAACTCAGTTGCAACCTTGACACGCTCCACACCTCGTAAGGCCCGCCTCGAGCTTCAAGCTAAGCTTTCATACTTTAAACCTGTCCCAACTCATTGAAATCCTAGAGGCTTTGGGTGTTCCCTAAATGCTACACCGCCCGTCAACCCCGAAATCCCAGCCCTCGGCACACCAAATCTCCAATCCTTCCTTGGTCGGCCGGCGAACTTACCCTAAACGCTCAACCTGTGGTAAGAAGTGATACTCGCATAAATGCCTTGCTTGGGTTTTCCAGTATTTACCTTACGGTTGTCTTCCTCAGCTCCCTGATGCTTCAGCGATAGGCTTCCTGTGATCTCTATAGGCTTATAGAGATCAACATATCACCCAACACGTAATTAAGGCGCCGATACTGCAACCATAAACCCTTACACCCCTTGCTGGTACAAACCCGTCAATGTGAACCCTCGAAGGAACTCGTTTCGACTTGCTGAGGCCCTAGTCGGGGTCCGGCAGCGCTTTGCGGAGCTCGGCTACGGCGAGGAGCAGCTGCAGGCAGTACCGTCAAGATCGGAAAGGGGCGTGTCTTCAGGAAGATTTTGGGTTTTGGAGCTAGGGTTTAAAAGAGCTGACATAGGGTGGGTGCTCCGTGCTGCGCCGTGAGCCCTAAGTCCCAAGCGGTGCGACCCGAATTTAGAGCCCAGGCTGGGCACAACAGTGGCTTTGCGATTTTGTGTGGGGATGTGGGGCTGTTGAGTGCGAGAGCTGATGATTTAGCCCTGCAACCTAACCCCTACTTGGAGGATCATGAGACTTAGTAAGCACGGTTATAAGTACCTTAATTGGGGTTAGAAGTATAGTTACCCTAATTATAACCCTAGTTACTAAGTCCCATGATCCTTTAAGTAGTCCCCTCACTCCCAAGTGCTCAGAGAACATCAGCTCGACTCCTCTCAGGCTGTGCTGGGCTGGATTCAGGACTCCGGCGGCAGGGATCAGATTCGGGTTCAAGGGCATTTCCCAAAGCGAAGCCACAAAGCCCTCAAAGCTAAACCGGGGTCAGGGTCAAGAGTCGTTTAGACTCTAGGTTCCTGACAGCCATGTCAGGGCGCTGCTACGAGGAAGGAAATGCGTACAGGTGGGGTTTTATTTGTGAGGCTCTGTTGGCTCTGTTGAGTGACGAGTGACTTGCAAGCCTGCCTAGGTCATTTCATACTTAAAGTAGTAACACGGCCAATGTTACACCACAGCGAATAGAACAGCAATGACGCAACCGTGACAATGGCAGCCATCATGAGAAAGACAACGACAGTGGCCACACGAGCATCAGCCTCAAACCGTAAAGAAAACTCCTTTTTTACATCCTTACAAGACCCTATGAAGCTTTATTACAAGCCCTGCAAAACCACATCACACCCTAAGTCCTGAAATCCTCATCCCCTCGAGGATCTGGCGCCGATGTGCATCCATGTCCACATCGACACAGTCGGCCGATTTTTGGAGACGGCGCGCGCTCTTGGTGGGTAGGGGGTGCCGTTGGATCAAGTTTACAGTAAACCCCATAAAGTTGGAAACCGGATTAAGGCCAAATAGTGTTGGGATTCCCTACACATTACTGATTGAGGCTATGAGGTTTCCAACTTTTGGGCTTCTACTGTAGGGGTGTGGGGTTTCCGACCCTGTTCTCGGATTTTGCAGGGAGTTTGCAGGGTAATATATCCTGTACTTGTAGTATCATATACCAGAAGTCTGTATTCGATTTGTCAAGGCCTTGTATTTGGGTTTAGGGTAGAGCTCAAGGTAGTGAGGCTCGGAGGGTTTGTCGGCACGGAGTCCGAGTTTCGGCACAAAGGAGCGTAGTTTCAGAACGAAGGGCGCTTGTTTGATCCCCAGACCAACAAGCCCGAACCCCAAAATCCACGAAAACCTTATAATTCCTGTATGAAGCCTCGAAGAGACCCATCAAGCCCTCATAACTCAGACCAAAACCTGTAAACAACCCTTATAGCATCCAAACCCCTAAACTCGGCATTGGCCTGACCAGGACGAGTTCTACCGAAATCAGTTCGAGACGGGCACCTCTTGCGGCGCGCTCGACGACGGCAACATCATCCGAAAGGCTTGGGGCTCATATAGGGTGTTAAGCTTTAGGGTTTAGGGGTTTAGGGTGTAGGGATTTAGGGCATGGGAGTTTCCGAACATTAGGGGTACCTTAGTTTGGGGGTCCTTGTAATAAGGATCCTACTATTTAGGGTACTAGATTAATTGGGGTCCCCCATTTTCGGAAATTCCCATATAGGGTTTCTAGGGTTCTTTTCCTCCTTGTTTCTGAAGCTTCTTTTGCAAGGTTTCACGCGTTGTTGGAGAGTGCCTGAGGTTTCGGGTTTCAGGGCGTGCAGGGATGCAGGGTATAGGGGCGTGCTTGTGTTTAGGGGCTTGAACCTAAGGTTCAGGGACTCCGGGTTGAAAAGGTATCCCAGATTCGCAATAATTTTGTGCTAGGGTTGGGTTGAGGGTTTAGGGTTGGGATGATTGGGAGATCTAGGTGGGTGGTTGTCTCCTTTAGGGTCCCTTTTTGGGTCCCTAATACAATACGGCACCCAAAAAGGGACCCTAATTTTGACAACCACCCAGGTGGAGAATCTGGGGCATTCAGGTGGCAAGGAGGATACGGAGGTTCTTACTTGGGGAGCAAGGGTGCAGAGACTCCAAAGACTCTAAAACTCTGAATCCTCAATCCTAAACACTAAGAACCCGAAACCCTTAACCCTGAACCTTCAACCCTAAATCCTAAACCCTAGAACCCTAAACTCCTAAAGCCCTAAACCCCAAACCTCGAACCCTAAACCCTGAAGCCCTAAACCACTAAACTCTGAACACACCCTGATGAGGTTTGGAGCTATCGGGGCCCTGCTAGCAAGACTTAGGGTTGAGGGTTGAGGGGTTTAGGGGTCTAGGGTTTAGGGGTTTAGGGGTGTAGGGCTTGGGGGTTTAAAGGTTTGGGTTTTAGGTTTTTAGTGGTTTAGGGGTCTAGGTTTAGGGCTTAGCTTTTTCGGGGGCATGTTAACGCAGAAATATTTCGCGGTTCCATATGGGTATTCTTGCTAGATATTCCTAGGTCTACATTGATGAAAGCTTTCCTACATAACAAAGCTGGCCACCTGGCTTTTGAAACCTGTGTGGTTCCACGCTACTGGAGGGGGGAGCGACAGACTCAAGGCACCGACATCCTCAGCCCAAAGCCCACCACCCAAAACTTTCCGCTCCGACCTACAAGCACTAAAAGGCCTAAACCCCGAAATCCAAGTCCACACCCGAAGCCCGAAAGCCCAAACCGTGCCAAATCCCCCAAGCCAAACAAACATCGCCCCAAGCCCCAAACCCCCAACACACTGGCTGTCCCCGACAGGGCTGGGAGAAAGAGCTTTTCGGCGGTAACTACGACGAGGCAAAGCCCTTCGAACGCTGCAAGCAGCCTGGTAGCACAGGGGAGAAGGCTCCTGAGGGCCTCCTGGAGTTCCCCTGAGCAATGAACCTCAAACCCTCAACTTTAAACCCTAAACCCTTTAAATCCTGAGCCTAAAGGAACCCTAGGGTTTCATGTAGGAACCTGATTAAGAAACCTTGGGCCTATAACCCCTAAAGTAGGATAAGGAACCCTAATACAGGCCCAAGGTTTCTTAATCAGGTTCCTGCATTAGGGCTCTGGGGAGCCTCAACTGTAAACTCATAGCTCCACGAGCCGAAGAGCTCTTCATCATATCGTGGATCGGTCACATGACCTATATGGGAGTTTCCGAAAATTAGGGGGTACCTTACTTCGGGGTCCTTAAAATAAGATCCTACTGTTTAGGGTACTAGATTAGGATCTCCCATGTTCGGTACACTCCCATATAGAGCGAGATCTAGTCTAGGTGCATGTAATCGGAATGGGAAACGGGGTGGTGGTTGGGTCCAGCAGCATCTTAAATGGCCCACAACCCTTAAGAGACAACCCTAAACCTTCAACCCGAAACGGCTTCCAATCTGTGCTGCTGAGCCGAGACGGCCCCACAGAAACATGAGGACCCCAAACTTCCTCAAAAGGGTGCGTGCAGTCCGAGCAATGGTTCCTTGCATCTACACTTACGTCTGGACACTCAGCACTAAAAGCAACATGTCACCGCTGTAGAACCTTCAAATTAACACCTGAAGGACGCCAAGGTAGGACTCCCATCAACAAACCCTTCCAAAGGCCTTCACATAGCATTCCTGCATAGCAGTTCATTATCTTGAGTACGTATGTCATATAGTAACCCCTCATAGCAAGCCGAATAGTCGCCCCTATCGACCTCTGGGAAACGGAGCCCCTTGAAGGAACCCTTTAAAGGAGCCTTTAAAAGATCCCTTAAAGGAGCCCTTAAAGGAAACCTAGTCTAATTATGACCGAACCACCTCAACAGGAGTTTTTCATTCGGCCCATGAGAACTGGGTTCTGGCTAAGGAATGCAATTTAAGCCAGAAAGAAAGACACCCTGCTCACAAGGTACGGCGCGCTGAGCGTTGGGATCTCAGCTTTTCCGCGTGAAGCGCTGGGAGGTTTTATAGGGTTTACAGGG